AAGTATATCTCAGTACAGTGCTTTAGGATTAAAAGAAGAATGGTATCACAATCAATGACTCAGAGGTCTGCATTATTTACCCATAAAATAAGTGTCAATTGGCCAGGCGCAGTGGCTCACACCTGTAATCCCAGCACTTTGGGAGGCCGAGGTGGGCAGATCATGAGGCCAAGAGATGGAGACCATCCTGGCCAACATGATGAAACTCCACCTCTACTAAAAAAAAAAAAAAAATTAGCCGGGCATCGTGGTGCATGTCTGTAGTCCCAGCTACTCAGAAGGCTGAGCCAGGAGAATTGCTTAAAACCAGAAAATGGAAGTTGAAGTGAGCTGGAATCACACCACTGCACTCCATCCTGGTGATAGACCAAGACTCTGTCTCAAAAAAAAAAAAAAAAAAAAAAAAAAAAAAAAAAAAAAAAAAAAAGTGATCATTTAAACTCAAAAGCAGTAACAAGATGACAAGGAAATAATAAGAGTGAAATCAATGAAACAGAATGCAAACAATAAAAGGAATCAATAAGCTAAGAGTTGGTTCTCAGAAATGGTCAACAAAATTAATAAAAGTAATAAACCAAAGTTCAAAAGAAAAAAAGAACAGCATGAAATACCAATATCAAGAATTAATGGTGGGATATTATTACAAACTCTCCAGCTAGTAAAAGGGTAACAGTGGGATCTCGTGAATAACTTAATGCCAATCAATTTGACAACTTAGATTAAATAGAAAAATTTCTTGAAAAACACTACTCAGCAAAATAGCCACAAGAAGTAAAGCTAATTTAAATATTCCTAAAGTGTCTATGAATTGGAGTTTATTGTTTATTTATTTATTTTGAGATGGAGCCTCGCTCTGTCACCCAGGCTGGAGTGCTGTGGTGTGACCTTGGCTCACTGCAACCTCCGCCTCCCAGGTTCAGGCAATTCTCATGCCTCAGCCTCCCTCCCGTGTAGCTGGGATTACAGACACCCACCACACACGCCCGACTGATTTTTTGTATTTTTAGTAGAGACGGGATTTCACCCTGTTGGTCAGACTGGTCTCGTACTCCTGTCCTCAGGTGATCTGCCCGCCTCGGCCTCTCAAAGTGCTAGGATTACAGGTGTGAGCCACCAACCCCAGTGGAATTCATTGTTTAAATGCTCACAGTGATGAAAACTGCAGTCCCAAGTCATTTCACTGATGAATTATGTAAGCATTTTTGGAAGGAATAACACCAACAGTAGACAAATTGTTTCAGGACATAAAGAAGGAGGAAAAACTTCTTTAATGATGACGTCTACCAATTCTGAAACTCTTCCAAGAAATTGAGTTGGAGGGAACGGAACTCTTTCTCTTTCTATGGGCCCCACATTACCCTGATACCATAGAAATGATGAAAGGAGGCCTTCGTGTCTTATTCCTGACCTTGGAGAAAAAACTTAGTCTTTTACTGTTAAGTAGGATGCTAGCTGTTGGCTTTTCATATGTGGCCTAAATGTAAGATCTACAAGAATTATACAACTCTAGGAAGAAAACAGCATCTTACCTTGGGGTATATATCCAAAAGAACTGAAAGAAGGGGCTCAAAGAGATTTTGTACACCCATGTTCATACCAGCGTTGTTCACAATAGCCAAATTGTGAACACAATCCAAGTGTCCATTGACAGACAGATGAATGGATAAACAAAATATGATACACACACACACACACACACACACACACAATGGAAAGGAAGGAAATTCCAAAGCATGGTACCAAATGGATGGATCATGATACTATGCCAAGTGAAATATGACAGTTACAAGAAAAGAGTAAGATACTGTGTGGTTCTATTTATATGAAGTACATAGAGTAGTCAAATTCATAGAAACAGGCAGTAGAACGGTAGTTGCCAAGGGCTGGGGGGGTGGGGGCAAAGGGACAAATATGAGTACAAACAAATGGTTGAATTTTAGAACTGGGAGAAAGATGCAAATTCTGTCTAGTTTTGGAGGCTGGGGGAATGGAATATGAGATTAATCTTGTAAAGGGTGAGATCTGAAAGCCACTCATGCCAGTCCCTGCTTTGCCCCCACAGGCTGTACCTGCCTCAGCTGAAACCATCAAAGGTGATGATCAATCACCTGCCTCACAGCAATTGAAACATAGCCCTCTGGGAGACGTGTGTCCACCAGGTACATTCTAAGACTGATCTCTAATCCTTTACACCTTCCTTTTCCTTACCATATGCAAAAATTATCTCTGAATTCATCAATAACATTCCTTTTCCATGTTGTTCCAGTTTTCTGTTTCCTGCAGTTTCTGGTTCTTGTATTCAACAGGTACTTACTGATCCTTTGCCAAATCCAAAGTTATGAAGCTTTATCTCCATGTTTTCTCCTAAGAGTTTTGCAGTTTAACTCTTGATGCATTTTCAATTAATTTTTGTAAATGGTGTCAGATAAGAGTCCAACTTCATTCTTTTGCATGTGGCTATCCAGTTGCCATTTGTTGAAATGATGATTTTGTTTTCCAATGGTCTTGGCATCCTTTTCAAAAACCAGTTGACCATAAAAGTATGGGTTTATTTTTGGACTCTCAATTATTTTCCACTGATCTGTATCTGTCCTTTTGCCAGTGCCACACTGTCTTATAGTGAGTTTTGACATCAGGAAATATGAATCTTCCTTTTTTGTTTTCCTTTTCCAGAATTATTTTGTTTATACTGGGTCTTTTGCAATTTCATATGAATTTTAGGAGCAGCTTGCCAATTTCTAAAATCAGCTGAGTTTCTCACAGGGATTATGCTGAACCCGTAGCTCGGTGTAGAGGTCACTGGCGTCTTAACAATGAGAAGTCTTTTGATCCAAAGCATGAGTTTACTTTTTTAACATTTTTTTAAATTTAGATCATCTCTATTTTTTAAAATAATGCTTTGTAGTTTGCAGACTATAGATTTTGGGTTGATTTTGTTAAACTTACTCCCAGATATTTAATACTTTTTTATGCTAAAGTGGATAAAACCTTTTCTTCATTTCATTTAGGATTGTGAGTGTATACAAATATACTTGATTTTTGTACACTGATCTTGTATTCTTTAAACTTGCACAACTTGTTTATTATTCTTAATGCTTTGATCGTGGCTGCTTTAGGGTTTTACCTATATAGTATCATGTAATTTGCAAATCAAATAAAGTTTTACCTTTTCCTTTCCAATCTGGATGCTTTTTTTTTTTTTTTGACTTTGAGACGAAGTATGGCTCTGTCGCCAGGCTGGAGTGCACTGCTGTGATCTCGGCTCACTGCAACCTCCGCCTCCTGGGTTCAAGCAATTTCCCTGCCTCAGCCTCCTGAGTAGCTGGGACTGCAGGCACATACCACCATGCCTGGCTACTTTTTTGTATTTTAGTAGAGATAGGGTTTCACCATGTTGGCCAGGATGGTCTCAATCTCTTGACCTTGTGATCTGCCCACTTCAGCCTTCCAAAGTGCTAGGATTAGAGGCATGAGCTACCACACCCAGCCAAGGATGCTTTTTATTTCTTTTACTTACCTAATTGTCCTAGCTAGAGCCTCCAGTACAATATTGAATAAAAGCAGTGACAACAGATATCTTTTTTGGAGAAAATCTTTCAGTTGTTTGCCATTAAATATAATGTTAGCTGTGAGTTTTTGTAGATATTCTTTATTAGGTTGAAGAAGTTCACTTTTATTTTGTGATTTTTATCATGAAAGAGTGTTGGTTAGAGTAAAATGCTTCCTCTGTTTTTAAGATAATCCTGTGACTTTTGCTTTTTATTCTATTGATATAATTTGCTACATCAATTTATTTGGGGATGTTGAACAAACCTTGTATTTCTAGGATAAAACTCATTTGGTCCTGGTATATAATTCTTTTTATATGCTTTTGGATTCAACTTGCTAGTATTTTGTTGCAGCATCCATATTCATAAGAATTATTAGTGTGTAGTTTTCTTTCTTTGTGAATTTCTTTTCTGGTCTTAATAATAAGGTAATTGTATTAGTCCATTTATACTGGGCTGATAAAGACATACCAAAGCCTGGCAATTTACAAAAGAAAGAGGCTTAATTGGATTTACAGTGCCTTTGGCTGGGGAAGCCTCACAATCATGACAGGAGGCAAGGAGGAGCAAGTCACATCTTACATGGATGGCAGCAAGGAAAGAGCTTGGACGGGAAAACTACCCCTTATAATAATCATCAGATATCTGAGACTTACTTGCTATCATGAGCACAGCATGGGAAAGACGTGCCCCAATGACTCAATTACTTCCCAACAGGTCCCTCCCCCAACATGTGGGAATTCAAGATGAAATTGGGGTGGGGATAAAGCCAAACCATATTATTCTACCCCTGGCCCCTCCCAAATGTCACGTCCTCACATTTTAAGATGAATCATGCCTTCCCAACAGTCAAGTCCCTTCTGCCTACGAGCCTATAAAATCAAAAGCAAGTTAGTTACTTCCTAGATGCAATGGGGGCGCAGGCATTGGGTAAATATAGCCATTCCAAATGGGAGACATTGGCCAAAACGAAGGGGCTACATGCTCTGTGCAAGTTTGAAATTCAGCAGGACGTCAAATCTTAAAGTTCCAAAATGATCTCGTTTGACTCCATGTCTTACATCCAGGTCACATTGATATAAGAGGTGGGTTCCTATGGTCTTGGGCAGCTCTGCCCCTGTGGCGTTGCAAGGTATTGCCTCCCTCCCTCCTCTTGGCTGCTTTCATGTGCTGGTGCTGAGTGTCTGCAGCTTTTCTAGGTGCATGGCTAAACTGTTGGTGGTTCTACCATTCTGGGGTCTGAAGGATGATGGCCCTTTTCTCACAGCTCACTAGGCAGCTCCCCAGTAGGACTCCGTATGGGGGCTTTGATGCCACATTTCCCTTCCCTTCATTCTCCATGAGGGCCCTGCCTCTGCAACAAACTTTTACCTGGGTATCCAAGTGTTTCCATACCTCTTCTGAAATCTAGGTGGAGGTTCCCTAATCTCAATTCTTGACTTTTGTACACTCACAGATTCAACACCACATGGAGGCTGCCAAGACCTGGGGCTTCCACCCTCTGAAGCAACAGCCCAAGCTGTACCTTGGCCCCTTTTTTTCCACAGCTGGAGTAGCCCGGATATGGGACACCAAGACCCTAGACTGCATACAATGCAGGACTGTGGGTCTGTACTAGGAAACCATTTTCTCCTAGGCCTCCAGGCCTGTGATAGGAGGGGCTGCAATGAAGACCTCTGACATGCTCTAGAGACATTTTCCCCATTGTCTTGGGGATTAACATTCAGCTCCTCATTACTTACGCAAATTTCTGCAGTCAGCTTGAATTTCTCCTGAGCAATGCATAGAGTTATGACATTACTGAGCAATAGGGATTTTTCTGCTCCATCATAATATTATGGGACCACCATATTATGGGAACCACATAGTGGTTCATTGTTGACCAAAACGTTGTCATGCAGTGCATGACTATAGTTTGAGTCTTCTTATTTTTTCCCTGTGTTAATTTTTTACACAAATTCCTGTGCCAATGTATCAATCTATTTAAAGAACTAAATTTTGGGTTCCTTAATTTACTCGGTTGTTTTTCTATTCTCTGTCTCATTAATTTCTGCTCTAACCTGTATTATTTTCTTCCTTCTGCTTGCTTTATCTATAGTTTGCTCTTCTTTTTCCAGTGTCTTAGAATGGATTATTAGGTTATAGATTGAGATATTTCTTCTTCCTAAATAGGCATTTACAGCTATCAATTTCTCTCTAAACTTCAGCTACATTAGCTGTATCCCATAGGTTTGGTATGTTGTGTCTTCATTTTC